ATTCCTGAAGACTCCTCCAATCCCAGAGGGCCCTGGATTCCTTACACTGCTGCCATCAAAATTCAGCTTTAAAAAGCCCGAGGGGGGAGGGGACCAGAACAGACAAAGAGTCCTCTTGCATCTTGCAGTGAAAGCAATCTCTTTCCAGTTTCTTAGCAAGTCATCCATACGACAATCTGAAAACAATTCCAAAGATTTTAGCCAGTGGACCGCATGATTCTTTCTACATTCCCCAGGCTCCCAAAGGAAGTCTCTCATCAACTTTTCTAATTTTTGCACTTCCCTCCTAGGCATCCTAAAAACCGACAAGTAGTAGACTAGCAAATTTGCTAGAGTGGAATATATCAAAATAATTCTACCTCCCAAAGAAATATAATTTCTCTTCCAAGCTGCCGATCTCTTGGTACACCTCTCCACTACTGGGTTCCAGAACGTAGTTTCTCTTGGATTATCTCCTAAAGGCAAACCAAGATGCTTCAAAGGCCAGCACTCAATAACACAACTTAGAGACTGCTATTGCCTTCAGTTCCTCCTGCCTCAAGTTTATCCCTACCACACAGCTCTTCTCAAAGTTAATCTTCAGCTTGGAGATATATTCAAACAACTTTATCACCTCCTTCAAGTACTTTCCTTTCCTAGGATTCCCACCCTCAGAAAATGATTGTATCATCCGCAAATTGTATGTGAGTCACTACTATATTATTCCTACCCATTCTCCAACCTCTAAAAAAGTCCAACCTGTCTGCCCTTTGGACAATTCTGCTAAACACATCAGCTATGATTGTAAAGAGAAATGGGGAAAGGGGGTCCCCTTGTCTGCCATATTTACTCTCATTCAATCTTCTTCATAATCCTTCTACCATATTTAAATCAACTAATGCATTTGGATGGTTTCAGCTAACCAAACAATAATTAGTATTTTTTGTTACCAACAAAAGTAAGAATTTAACATATAACCATGATTGAACAATTATTTTGGCAGAATGTTGATTTGTTTCTCTTTCATAAAAGGATTTTAGTTAGATGGTGCCCCATTGGAACTTTGAAGAAAGAGAAGAAATTTTCACAAAGAAAAAAGGGGAAAGGGTTAAAATGCTAAATGCTATTTTGGTACTTCACCATGAGTATGATACTAAATTCTTAAATAACTCATGCAACTAAAGGAGAATCCCAAGCTTGGGGTAATTAAATAACTTCACCACTACTACCAGTTTCTGTTTAATTCTAACCAAAATTTAGCAAAACTTCTAAAACCCCAGCAATATCAGTGAATATCCTATGGCATAAGAAAACCATATTCAACTGTTTTAATGACAATAAACACTCACATCAACAGATACCAGAAAATAAAGAAGAAAAAAGAAAGTATCAACTTACCTCAACAATAATAATAAATCTGCTTCCACTGTCAGTAAATAAGCTGTCGGATGTTGCCTCAATGGAAGATGATGGAGCCACGAAACGAGGCGAAAATGGCAGTGTAGAGTCATCTGCTGCCAAATCAAGAACCATTTTTCTAGCTCGTCTAAAATTCATCTCTAGGACTTCTTCAATGTATGGACGCAGGAGCACCAGTAGCAACTTAGAAAGATTCAGACCTTGTGGTTCTAACATCAAGCAGTGACTAAGACTAGCCTGAATGCAAATGCTTGCAGCACGAAGGGCACAAACTGTCTCAGATGAGGGGGCATTTTCCTTCACTAGGCGTACAAAGGACTCCAGCTCACACTCTGCCCACTGCACAACTCTATTGGTATATAAAGGATTATCACCAAATATCAATCCAGATTCTTTTGTGACCAGTGAGATGGTAGAAAACACAAGTTTGGACAATGTTGATGGGTATGTTTGAGGATAAATTGAACATGAAGGAAGAAAAGCCTCAATACTCTTCCGCAGACGGGATCCATATGCTTTCAAAAGCAACTGATGTGCCAAGGGACCTTTTCCTAATTTCAGTAGACCAGATAACGCTTTTTTCAGTTCAACATTACCCACTGATGGTTGTTCAGTGTTCTCAACAAGCTGATTCTCTAGCATTGCCTTCCTTTTCAGGAAAGCTGACTTATATGAGAATTTTTCAGTAGATGAAGTATCATCTGAGCTGTTTAGCTCCGAAGAACTTTTCTCTTCAGCATCTAAAGCCTCTAAGGCTTCTTCCACTTTATGCTCAGCCAAAAGAACATCAATATTCTCAAAAAATATCAGCTTCTTGTCCTCTGTTTCAGCTAGCAAGCTATCCTGAGTTTCACAAATTTGAGAATTTTGCTCAGCTGCATCACTGTCAGCATTAGCATGATTCCATTCTTCCAATTCACGGCAAACACCACTCATCAAATCCTGCACAAGAATTCCTTGAGCAGATATATGCTTCTGCAGCTCAATCAGTTCATGTTCCATTTCAACAACCTCCTCTGATATCCTGTAAAAAGTTAGAACATTAGTGATAATCATAAAAGCCAAATAAAATAACACAATCAGCTCAGAAAATCAAAATAACCATGGCAGTGATACAAGTCCTTTCTGATAAGCATAACAACGCTGCTAGAACTGAGAATTTTTAAAGGCCACGATGAATCAGCTTTTGTAAGAATAGGTGTGGGTTCTATTTCATGGAAAGGGAACCTTTTCAATACAAGAATGATAGAAAACCTCAGTAAATTTGTACATATGATGACTTATTATCTATATTATACAGTTCCTATGCATATAATTTTTTTATAGTAACAAGCAACAACTTTTATTAACAAAAGTAATCAGTTAGGGTTTAAAGAAGAAAAGAGAAGAAGATGGAGAGAAATGAGATGAGGGCCATACACCTCTCTCTTTTTTCTAAAGAGAAATGCTTATGTGACACTTGCAACTGTTTAAGTGATAAAATACTGACAACTCTATAGAACTGTAAGATAGATATTGGGAACCTTTGATTCTTTACTATGTAGTAGAGAGGGCTGAATCACTAATCTAGCTAGCTGGCCACTCTTTCTCCTTTTCCTCAAATTTGGTTGGTTTGTTCTCCTGATCTAGCTAGCTGTCTAGGGAGACTGCTTTCTCAGTATCCTCTAAAGTTTCCTTTTTTTATAATAAATAAAAAGAAAAAATTATTAAAAAAGAAGATACAACAAGGTGACAAGACATCACCCAACAAAAATTTATAACCCAAAACCCACACCATTAAGAACCTCCAAACCATTGATACAGACTTTTCTTCCCCAAAATTCACAAAAAAACAACAAACCCTTGAGAATACACAGCAACAACAACCATAACAAACTTTCAAAATTCAGGCCTTCCCTTAAATATTTTCTTCATTCAAAGGGTGTCGCCCATCCATCTCCCGAAACATTTTACCACAAATTCTTCCCCTCCTAAGATCTAAACTCCTATAACTTGCTTACTAGGACTTCAATTTCTACCATTTTTTCTAAATCCATATTTTCTTCTAATTTTCCACTCGATCTAGCACCACTTACTCATTTTCCTTCTTTCCTTCTTTCTCTTCCGAAACTCTTCCACAACTGTTCCACAAAATTTGTTGCTTATTCTTGAACATCTGCATTTCCCCTCACTTTCTTCTTCTCCATCCCTTTCTCTGACAAGTCCAAACCAAGATTGCTTCTTGTGCTGCTTTCAGATTTCATCCTATTCTTCACCCCCTTTCTCTTGTAGAACCTCTTGTATTTACTACATACATGGACCATACCGAACGAGCCCATCCTTCAAACAATGAAAGACCTTAGTGACATGAATTAATTGACCAACATCTGACCCTTTGGGTTTTTTCAAGTTTACCACCAAAGCCTCACCATTTTTGGTTTCTTCAACCACAACAGCAACTCTTTTCCTCCTCAAGTCCACCCCCAACTTTCAAACAATCACCTGGGAAAACAATCCATCAGTCACCCTCTTCTCATTACCATTTAGACTTTCGGAACCCCTGGAGAGTACACATCCTTCTTTTTCTTATATTTCCTTCCCCACTTCCACATCAGTCAAAATTATCTCCTTCTAGAGAGGAAAAAACTCCTTGACCTCCCTCTCTTTGGCCATATCTCCCACATCTTCTCTTCCCAACTCTGAACCATGGTTCTCTACTTGCACCAACTTGTCAAGATTATTTTTTGGTAATAAATAAAAAAGAAAACTTTTATTAAAAGGAATAGAGATAAACAAACAGGTGACAATCCTTCATCCCTATTTTTTAATTACAGAAGAAATGAAGACAACAAAAAACCAAAAGGACGAAAAAAATCCCAGAACCCACACAAGACCAACAACCCCTTTAGTAGGCCCCACCCCAAATAAAGTCCTTTCAATAACACGCCCCTCAGAAGTCCTCTTCAGACCTTTCAATAACAGCTTCCTTGTCATTTCTTCCCCTCCTAACACCCAAAGTCCTAAAGCCTTGTTCGCTTGAACTACAGTTTTCACTACTTTGTCCGCATCTACTTTCTTTTCTACCTTTCTAACTATGTCCAACAACTCTCTCTCCTCTTCTTGCTCCTCATCAAAATTGTCTTCCTCTGAGATCTCATTTTCCTCATCTTTTTTCTCTTCACCTGTGTTGTCTTCCCCTGAACCAGCTTCTTGTCTGCTTCCATGCACCTCTCTTTGCAAGGATCTTTCTAATTGACCTTTATGAAGAAGTTCCACATCCTCTTTTTCAACCTCAAACTTTGACTTATCATAGACACTAATTCCAGCAGAGTTCTTTTCATTAATTTTGGTCTTTGAAACCCTTCTCTTATATGTCCTCTTGAATTTGCTTCAAGGACCATCCCCAAAAATGCCTTCCTTCAATCGATGAAACACTTTCATAACATGAACTAATTGTCCATTGTTTGGAATTTTGGGCTTTCTTGACACAGCCTCAACCCTCCAAGGTTTAACACTCCCTTCTAACATATTTTCCCTCTTTTCCTTCCTAAATCCACCCCTAACTTTTCAATAAAAACCTGTGTGGCAGTGGGATGATTTGATGAGACCCCTTACCCCAGTGGAAATTCATTGTCAATGGAGAAAACTTTTCCTTCTTTTTCTGTATTCAAGTTGCTGACATCAGAGATTGAAACTGAGTCTTCGGTGGTCAAAGCCAAAGTCGCTCTTAGCTCTTCAGGTAAAATGTTGGTGTCATGGTTTTCCTCCCTAACCCTGCTTGAGACATATTTCCTCCTCAGGTTCTGTTCTGTTGTTCCATACCTCTCTCTACACCTCCCTAAAGTATCTCCAGCAGACGCACAACAGTTAACCTCAAACAAAATGTCAGGAATCCCAGGACACTGTTTGTTGTTCATGGGCTCCAGAGACTCTAACCTAAGAAACTCTTTAGCCTACTCCTAGCTCTCCTTCGAGAGAGATTCATTCATGACAACACCCAAATTGCTTGAAACTTCAGCTCTAGAAAAACTATCTACCATCCAACCACCCTCTTTGCAAGAAAATTTATCTCCTCCTTCAAACTTCTTTGAAGACAGCTTTTTGATTTCTAGTCTACAGGCCTTCTTTTAAACAATATAGAGTTCCTTCCTTTCTTTCCAAACAAGATCCTGTTCTGCAAACACACTCTTGTAATTAGTTTAGAAGAAGACGATTACAGACCCATAGAAAGGTCCTTCAATACCTCCCCCTCACATCATGTGACCTTGTAACAGTTTCAGACTTATCAAGCCCAATAACATGAGGCCCACAACTAGTTAAAACTGGCCCAACCTCGCTACCCAGAACAAGATCTCCTGGTTTCGAAGCTACCGGCCCAGTGCCAGCTGATCCAGTGGCTTTAGTTCAAATTAAAGCTTCTCTTACAGTCTTACCGGTTCAACAAATCCTGGTTCGAAAATACTAGATCCGATCAGCTCCACTTCCAGCCTAGGATTCAAAAACTTCTCCCCATCAGCCCTTTGATCCTTTGAGTGCTAGACTTTTCATCTTCTTTGTAGCTGACAGTCTACAGAAGAGAACTGCTGCATGCTACCTCTGCAACCCATCCTAATCCTAGGTAAAGCTCCTTGTCTCCCTCTTTTTCAGCACCTTGCCTTGGTTTCTCCTTTAGGGAAACTCCTCAGAAAAATTGAGATGATCCAATCCTGTTCTACCACGAAACCAATCATCTTCAACCCCCAAGTCTTCCTCTCTTCTGGCTGCCGTCCAAAGGGCTACTTCAAGGGAGGTTGCAAGCCAGACTGCGTAAAAGAGATTCAGTCCAGACTTCCACCATCCTAGGTATGTTTTCAGGCTTCACACCATTGAGAGTATGGCTGCTGAATGCAGATTGAAAGTGAAGACTCCCACTAGTTTCCCTCCACAAATTGAAGCGATGGACAAGAAAATTTCTTGCTTCCAAAGATGGAAAGGAAGTCCGACCTATCTAACAGTGACACCATCTTCTTTTTTTTATCAGCAACACAGAAAAAAATTCATTAATTATGAGAGAAACATGATTACAACAAGAAATTGTGAAAGGAACCAGATATAGAAGCTGCCCCAAATCAGTACTACATTTGAGCCCAAAACATGTGTTCTATGTACCCCTTGCTTGGCTAAGCTATCTGCCAAGCTATTAGCAGTCCTCCTCACCCATTTCACTTGGATTAACATGTCCTTGACAGCCATTTGAATTTTCTGAATTCATTCCTCAAATGCCATGCCACCCCCTCCCCTTTAGCCAGCCACTTAATCATAGTTTTAGAATCTCCCTCGATAATCAGCCTTCTAATACCCAGCTCTTTTGCCTTCTCAACCCCAAAAACTGCAACCAAAAACTCTGATCTTGCCACATCACCCTACTCCACAGGGCCAGAGCATAAAGCAATTATAATATGTTCCCCTCTTCATCCCTAACGACTCCCCCAATACCTAAGGGCCCTGGGTTACCCAAACAGCACCCATCAAAATTCAGTTTCTTCCAGCCATTTATTGGAGGAGACCAAACCTCAACAGATCTTTGTCTTGTAGTGAGGATGCAGCAATGGTACCCCAAGCTCTGAAGAAATCTTCAATCTTGAAATCCAAAAACAGCTTCAAACTTTTTGCCCAATGAGCTACCCTTAATGTTATAGTTTCAACCAAGGCTTCCTTGCTCCGTTCCTTCTCTTCAAATATTCTTGCATTTCTCTCCTCCCACACAGTCCAAATTAGTGCTGCTCTAGTGCATCTCCACAAGGTCCTACCCTCTTTTTTGTACAGCTAATGCTAGTAAGGCTAAGCAAACCCTCCAACCTATCAGGAGAATACCACCTGCATCAAAAGAGAGAAGTAAACCAATCCCAAAGAAAGCTAATAAACGGGCAAGAGATAAGAAGATGAATTGCAGTCTCACCATTCAATTTGCAAAGAACACACCTGTTGGGGGACAAACACCACTTTGTCCCTTCTGTTGAAGTAAATCAAAGGTATCAATGCTTCCATGAAACACTTCCCAGCAGA